CGTCACATGAAACCTTTCATATGGATGTTTGTGAGCCCATCAGCACAGGAGTTAGGGTTAAGGTCGTCAAATAGGAGAGACGGGACCGAGGACTACAGACCGCGGTGGACGAACCTTGGCATGATCACTGTATCCAGGCAGTGATTTCATACAGTGACTTATACATTGACTTTGTCAGTATTGGTGTATAGTTACCTGTGTAATGTAGTATTGGTGTATAGTTACCTGTGTAATTTCAGTATTAGTATATCTATCTGCTTTGTGTGATTCTCATGTTGCTGTTTATACTTACTTTATGTGAGAGTGAGAAAGCAAAGGTTTATACTACTTATAAATAATAACAAAACCATAGTGTATATTTTGTAAATTAAATTTTGTATATATTGTAATCCAGTCTTAGTGTCATTCTACACCACACTTGCAGTGTCAAGCTCGTCCATAGTTACAATATTCCAGGTGTGCAGAAAACGTAAGTGAGCATTACCCCTGGATTTTGGAGGATTATATAAAGTAAACAAGCGAAACTTTTATTTTTTTAAACGAAAATCGTTTACTTTTCGTCCCAAAAATAAATGAAATCATATCGTTATTCATTAAAAAAGAAAGGTTATCCTCTACGTCTGGTATCATTAAACGAATTAGCTGTTATAGCATTGTTATTTTCCTTACTTAGAACTTCTGTCTCCAACAACGGAATTGGAGCCACCTGGCAGACATTTTGACACCAGAAGAAAACGCGTGGATACACGAGAGACTTAATGGGCATAACTATCGTAAGTACATTTTACTTTAGTAATATAAAGTTATCTGTATTGTGAGAACATATACTAAAAATGATTTAAAGCTTTCTGTATTGTGATTACATTAACTAGAATAATGTATACTAACATAATATAAAGCTATCTGTATTGTGAGTACATATACTAGAATAATATAAAGCTATTTGTATTGTGAGTACATATACTAGAATTATATAAAGCTATCTGTATTGTGAATACATCTACAAGAATAATATAAAGCTATTTGTATTGTGAGTACATTTACTAGAATAATATAAAGCTATCTGTATTGTGAGTACATATACTAGAATAATATAAAGCTATTTGTATATTGAGTACATATACTAGAATAATATAAAGCTATCTGTATTGTGAATACATCTACAAGAATAATATAAAGCTATTTGTATATTGAGTACATTTACTAGAATAATATAAAGCTATCTGTATTGTGAGTACATCTACAAGAATAATATAAAGCTATTTGTATATTGAGTACATATACTAGAATAATATAAAGCTATCTGTATTGTGAATACATCTACAAGAATAATATAAAGCTATTTGTATATTGAGTACATATACTAGAATAATATAAAGCTATCTGTATTGTGAATACATCTACAAGAATAATATAAAGCTATTTGTATATTGAGTACATATACTAGAATAATATAAAGCTATCTGTATTGTGAATACATCTACAAGAATAATATAAAGCTATTTGTATTGTGAGTACATTTACTAGATGATATAAAGCTTTTTGTATTGTGAGTACATATACTAGAATAATATAAAGCTATCTGTATTGTGATTACATATACTAGAATTATATAAAGTTATCTGTATTGTGAGTACATATACTAGAATTATATAAAGTTATCTGTATTGTGATTACATATACTAGAATTATATAAAGTTATCTGTATTGTGATTACATATACTAGAACAATATAAAGCTATCTGTATTGTGATTACATATACTAGAATAATATAAAGCTATCTGTATTGTGAGTACATATACTAGAATAATATAAAGCTATCTGTATTGTGATTACATATACTAGAATAATATAAAGCTATCTGTATTGTGAGTACATATACTAGAATAATATAAAGCTATCTGTATTGTGAGTACATATACTAGAATAATATAAAGCTATCTGTATTGTGAGTACATATACTAGAATAATATAAAGCTATCTGTATTGTGAGTACATATACTAGAATAATATAAAGCTATCTGTATTGTGAGTACATATACTAGAATAATATAAAGCTATCTGTATTGTGAGTACATATACTAGAATAATATAAAGCTATCTGTATTGTGAGTACATATACTAGAATAATATAAAGCTATCTGTATTGTGAGTACATATACTAGAATAATATAAAGCTATCTGTATTGTGAGTACATATACTAGAATAATATAAAGCTATCTGTATTGTGAGTACATATACTAGAATAATATAAAGCTATCTGTATTGTGAGTACATATACTAGAATAATATAAAGCTATCTGTATTGTGAGTACATATACTAGAATAATATAAAGCTATCTGTATTGTGAGTACATATACTAGAATAATATAAAGCTATCTGTATTGTGAGTACATATACTAGAATAATATAAAGCTATCTGTATTGTGAGTACATATACTAGAATAATATAAAGCTATCTGTATTGTGAGTACATATACTAGAATAATATAAAGCTATCTGTATTGTGAGTACATATACTAGAATAATATAAAGCTATCTGTATTGTGAGTACATATACTAGAATAATATAAAGCTATCTGTATTGTGAGTACATATACTAGAATAATATAAAGCTATCTGTATTGTGAGTACATATACTAGAATAATATAAAGCTATCTGTATTGTGAGTACATATACTAGAATAATATAAAGCTATCTGTATTGTGAGTACATATACTAGAATAATATAAAGCTATCTGTATTGTGAGTACATATACTAGAATAATATAAAGCTATCTGTATTGTGAGTACATATACTAGAATAATATAAAGCTATCTGTATTGTGAGTACATATACTAGAATAATATAAAGCTATCTGTATTGTGAGTACATATACTAGAATAATATAAAGCTATCTGTATTGTGAGTACATATACTAGAATAATATAAAGCTATCTGTATTGTGAGTACATATACTAGAATAATATAAAGCTATCTGTATTGTGAGTACATATACTAGAATAATATAAAGCTATCTGTATTGTGAGTACATATACTAGAATAATATAAAGCTATCTGTATTGTGAGTACATATACTAGAATAATATAAAGCTATCTGTATTGTGAGTACATATACTAGAATAATATAAAGCTATCTGTATTGTGAGTACATATACTAGAATAATATAAAGCTATCTGTATTGTGAGTACATATACTAGAATAATATAAAGCTATCTGTATTGTGAGTACATATACTAGAATAATATAAAGCTATTTGTATTGTGAGTACATATACTAGAATAATATAAAGCTATTTGTATTGTGAGTACATATACTAGAATAATATAAAGCTATTTGTATTGTGAGTACATTTACTAGAATAATATAAAGCTATTTGTATTGTGAGTACATATACTAGAATAATATAAAGTTATCTGTATTGTGATTAAATCTACTAGAATAATATAAAAATATCTGTATTGTGAGTACATATACTAGAATAATATAAAGCTATCTGTATTGTGAGTACATATACTAGAATAATATAAAGTTATCTGTATTGTGATTAAACCTACTAGAATAATATAAAAATATCTGTATTGTGAGGACATATACTAGAATAATATAAAGCTATTTGTATTGTGAGTACATATATTAGAATGATATAAAGTTATCTGTATTGTGATTACATCTACTAGAATAATATAAAGCTATCTGTATTGTGTTAGTATACATTATTCTAGTGAATGTAATCACAATACAGATAACTTTATATTATTCTAGTAGATGAAATCAAAATACAGATAGCTCTATATTATTCTAGTAGATGTAATCACCATACAGATAACTTTATATTATTCTAGTAGATGTAAAGCTATCTGTATTGTGCTTTCATCTACTAAAATAATATGAAGCTATCTGTATTGTGCTTTCATCTACTAAAATGATATAAAGCTATTTGTATTGTGAGTACATTTACTAGATGATGTAAAGTTATCTGTATTGTGAGTACATATACTAAAATAATATAAAGTTATCTGTATTGTGAGTACATATACTAGAATAATATAAAGTTATCTGTATTGTGAGTACATATACTAGAATAATATAAAGCTATCTGTATTGTGATTTCATCTACTAAAATAATATAAAGTTATCTGTATTGTGAGTACATATACTAGAATAATATAAAGCTATTTGTTTTGTGAGTACATCTGCTAGAATAATGCGTTATCAAAGCTATGGTCATGCAAATAAAATTCAAATTCAAATTCTTAGTTATAAGTTTACACATTGAGACGGGGTTCTTAGAGGGACATTTGTTTGGTTTAGGAACAGGGTCATGTTCAACTCAATATAACATAATATGATATGATATGATATTATATAATATTATGTAATATCAGTCGTTTCCACTGACGTGTGCCAGTGCCATACTGTCTCTCTATGTATAGAAATATACATACTGATTATATTTGTACTTAGGGTAGCTCTCATATGACACCGACTGTTGCGAAACCCATACCAACAAACAAACCTAGGGTAGCGTTGATTTACATTTTGACGTGGGCGGGTGTATGGATTCAATTTACATTGAATTGTATACAGTGAGGTCTAGTTGAAGATCTTGATTGTACAGAAAAATGCTTATAATTATTTATCACATACCTGTTGAGTCTTGTTACAGTAATACAAGCAATTTTCAGACCATGAAATACAACGTTCTGTATTACACTTATTCAATACGGAATGTTGTATTTACGTACTAGCCGGAAGTACTTTTTATGGGAATCCCCTTGTCATGGCGAACTGAAAAGTTCCTGGTATTTGCAAAAAATATCAAGGTAAATAAAATCTTTGTATCGATCTCTACCAAATACGGAAGGTATGTAATAAGCGCACTCGTGAATATATATTCGTCCGCGCAATAAACTCGTGCTTTCTGATTCGTTAGAAAAACACAAGTGTGTGGTCTTGCGATGGTATATGTTAGTGTGTGTATTTACGGTATACCTGGAAATGATCGCCAAGGCAAACGTTCGTTCTTATCCCGATATGATCTGTATTTGTCTAGTGCTAATATCTTTATGTAACAATTCGATATAATTTGAGACTAAATTTTATTTTCATTTCTAGCTGAAAACTATTACATTGGAGCGACAGACTTGGAAGTCGAGGGTGTATTCCGCTGGGATAACACTGGGGATACTTTCGGGTATTCAAACTGGGAGGACGGAGAACCTAACCAGTGGCGGGGCGATCCTGAAAACTGTGTCGAAATGAAAACTCGGAGTGGTGAATGGAACGACGTCCCTTGCGACCTACCTAAGCGTTTTATTTGTAAACGTGCATCCCTCAGGAATTTACCGTAAATTTAAAAGCATTACGATGCATTTCAACTTGATAAATGTATTTTTTTGCCTTATCTTTATAAATAATGATGAACATTTTTAACATGAATTATAGTATATTTATGATATTGATATAATAAGTTTTCATAATACTCTGTTAACCACCGAATGTGTGCAACCGATAGCAAATAAACATCGAAATTATTGTAGTGTATCGCTATTTCTGATTAGACGAAATGTTGTCTGCTTGTCTCGTGACATTGCCACTATTTATTACATATAAGATGAAAAATAATTCCCCAGCCCCAAACCAGCCACAAAAGAGATATAACATTTCAAATAGAAAGAAAATATTGTTAAACATGTTGCATAGAAAATATGTATATTTTTTTTCAATAAACATGTTAACATATATTTCTTTTACACTCAAGAGAAAGCGAATCAAAATCAAAGAAAAACAAAAGTCAATAATTATTCATGGCGTATGTATATGTCAAAAACAGATGCTGTAATTGATAAAGTACAGAAGTTATACGGAAGGAGAGAAAGATCACACAAGACAAGATTAGACTCATCAGTGTAATACAGCGCTTGAAACTTTGGTAAACCGATTTGTTTTTTTTTAACTTAAATTCAAATGTTAAGGTGTGACGCTCTTATTGAAAAAAAAACCAATCACGGAACTAACCTTTGTACTATATTTGGATACCAAATTTTGACGATATATTGTTCCATTAACCTTTAACCTGTGTTGAATAATACGTCCTAGCAAAAATTAAAAACTTGGATATCAGTCAGTGAGAAAAATGTTAAGTATATGTAGCATAATCACCTTATAGAATTATATTTACATTTGCATGGCATTGTCACTAAAAAGGCTATTTGAAAGCTGTGTCGTTGATGGGACATTACATACCATGCACCACGAGACATAATTCTTAGCGTATTAATACCGGAACTACAATATATATATATAAACTAACATGACGGCTGTTGAAATATCGCTGGGGATTGTGAGACTTGACAATAAAATTGTAATTGTGTAAACAATAAGAAGAGAAAATATTAAAAAAACTACTTTTATTGACCCCGGTCTGCAATATCGTACAAAATGCACATTTATTGAAATAACCAATGCGGCAATGGAACTTAAACACTCATGCAATTTATCAGAAATATCGTCTGTTACACTTCACTGATCCACAGGGGTTCGTTTCAAATGTCTGAAATACACATATGTTATAGACCTACTGATATGAGTCACAGCACACATAAACACACACAAGGCATATGCGTATTTCAGCCATTTGTAATATAACGAACCCTTGTGCTCTGTCGCAAGATCACTCACTTCAAACGCTATCAGTATCACGGGTCTATCAGCCACGGTTTCCTCAGTTTCTGACGACATGTCAAATAACGAGGCTGCTATAGAATCTACCGACTGTAGTCAGGTTCCAATACAATCTTAACAAATTCGTTACAATTTCAAAGTACTATTTTGTAAGCCAATCAGCACGCAACAACACGCTGTTCCAACTATTGAACGAATTTGGGTGGACTGTCGATAAGGCGGGAATTTTAAAATTTAAAATATAAATTATGATAATGGGCGGATTGGTCGAGTGGTTAACACTCCGGTCTTCCAAGCAGGGGGCCGGGGTTCGATCCCTGAAGTCGCCGTACGCATGGAATATTCAGAGAAAGTGTTTTTTCTCCTTCCCACACAACTCCAACAACCCAGGTGGAGTATCAAATGGTCTGGGGTGGGTGTTGCGGTATCTGTGCTGTAGCATTCAAGTTAGGTGGCACTATACATGATACCGTTGGAAGCACGGTCCCACTACAAACAGACGCAATACATCTCCAGCACACACACAGACATACACACATAGGGAGATATTAGCCAGGTGGCATAGGACTAGTAGTTAGCGCCTGATAAGGCAGCTCCTGCGAATTCCTCAATATTGTATTGATATATATATATATATGCTAATTGTATTGACTGTATAAAATTGGATATCTATGTACTGTAAAGAGCTTTAGAGTGGCTTATGTTAGCTAGATAGGGCGTTATATCCAATGTTGTATATATATATATAAACTGTTAGTTAAAAAACAACATTAAAGGTAGAGAAAACGTAAATATAAGCAGCTGAACTGTTTACGAAAGGCGCGTAGGTGGACTGTAAACGATGTGTAATAAAAAATCTATGATTTAAGTTTACTCAAAAGATGCAGGTTGACAAAGACTATGGACATATTTTTTTTGTCGCAATAATGATATCGTATGGAAACATGCTACTCCTTTGCGCGATATGAAGGTCTATGTTTTGATAATGTGCATTAGTATACCTTTGGGTTTTGTTGTCATTACCCGAGTCCCAGATATGAAAACGTGGAATTGTTTGAATTCGGCTTAGATTTATATGATGGATGTCGTCGATGACGCAAAATACGCTTACCCTTCCGGAACACATGGGTTTATTCTCCCTGTACTTTTCATATAAATATTTTCTTTGTTTATATTTTGCCCTAGTTTTTTCGCTTTGAATTCAAACTATTGCTTTCTTGACACTTTGGAAGTCTCTTTTTAAAGTTATCTTCTTTTTAAAGGATTGAAATGATTTTCTCGTTTATTTTTAGCAGGGATACTGATCTGCACCTTGTAAATGGATATATATTTTTTCTGGTTTTCCAAACATTCTGTAGATCAAGAAAAAAGCAGTGCGAAATAGTGCTCAAAACCATCATTTGTTATTTTATATGATATATAAATATTACAACACAGCCAATATTAAAAACTTTTTATTTATACATATGAAGATCTTGTACATACCTAGGGCAACGCTTCCGAAAAGTACCAGGACAGTGAAAACAAGCATCATTGCGTTCTCCTCACAAAATCAACTGGTTGATTGTGAGAAAAAATAGACCGAAAATAGTCCACTGTTTAAGCCGTCATTTCAGAATAAGAGATACTAGGAAATAACGAAAAGCATTCATGCTATTAGAATAAAATGTGTAAATTAATTTCCGACATTTAAAATATCAATTACCTATATATCAAACCCGTCAATTTATAGAACTGCTGAATAAACTAAATGTTACATACTTTTATCAAAGCATTTGATACCTTATACTATGGGGGCACGAGTTATCTTCGAGGGTGACGACAACAGGAAGGTCATATTACACATACTTAGGTTTGTAAACACAAAGTTACACCATGTGTTTTACATTAAACATATATTCAATATAATGACTACAACATCTGGTTTTGTTGAGAGCTCTACGTCATCTATTAGTTCTGTGAATCAGCCAGTGTTGTTTATTTCTTCGTTTCACTTTATATAGTGGGTATGCCTCCAGCAAAATGTGCTAGAAACTGTGCTACATGTTTATCTTTCCTACTACGGTAAACGTCAGACACAATATGGGTTATTTATGTTATTACACACACACTCACACATACCCACACACACACACACACACACACACTCACACACANCACACACACACACACACACACACACACACACACACACACACACACACACACACCCACCCACACACACACACACACACACACACACTCCCTCCCTCACACACTCACACACACCAAACCACACATGTGACATCATCTTTATCATTTGGTGATAGATACAGTAAGCCAAGATGAATTATACCGCATCATGCAGTTCTTTCGTCCATACAGTAGGTTTATCTTGACCATACATTGATAAATGCACCGGTCCCATCCACATTGATATGTTGAGTACGTTGAGCGTATTACCCATGGACAATAGGCCGGAATCGATTTTTGGTAACAGTTTTACGAAAAATTATATTCTTACTTGGAGGGATTTCCCCTTGTGTGGGTAGCACGTTGCAAATTATTTGTAAGTGGCCCGGAGTCCGAAAGCTATTTATATTAAAAAAAACTCATCAAATCGAGTACCGTGAGATTGTGTAGTAGAGTGAATAAACAGTGGATCACTCTACAAACACATTTGTGTTGTCTACGATCAAAGATAAGTGTGAAAAACGAAGACAAACGAAGTGTCTTTGAACGACAGAATGACGGAACGACAGAACGACAGAACGACAGAATGACGGAATGGGTCAGCCCATGATGAATCAGTGAGTGAAAAGAGGTCGAAAATGGAAAACTCGAAAAAAGGAGACCGTAAACAGGTGAATAATGCTACAATGTTGTTATAGAGAACTGTTTTAACGTATTTTATTGGAAAACAAATTCAACCATAACCTCAGCGTTATCCATCTAAATAGTGACTAGTTCTATAATTATCCTATGGCTCCATATCTTTATTAAGACATTGCGAAAATCCTCTTAGTACAGAATTGTAAAACTAGAATAAAGTAATGTTTCGACATTTGTTATCAAGGGCACATGTGGAGAAAATTGCAAATATGTTATGATTATTAGGAAGTATATTATAAGGCATATATGATGTGCCTAAATAGGGAGATAACACAGCATTTTGATAAAGAAGGTATCATTATAATTTATACCATTGTCAGGATCGATTATAGAATGAATACAACAATTACAGTGCCTCTGAAAATATATAATATTCTATCACTTCGAGTACATTCAAAATTTATTATATATATATTTTTTACTCGTGTTGGTGAAAATAAAGTGAGTTTTCAACTAAGCGGGAAAGCATGTTTAAAGAGGAAGAAAAACAAATCAATGATTAAATGTGACACATGTATTTGAACATGTTAAGCTTACAAAATCATTGATTGATTCAAATGCTTATTAGGAAGGAAAGAAAATATACATATCAAAGTAAATCAGCGTTTTTTATTAATAAAAATATTTAAGAGAAACAGTACAGCACTTGAAAATGTAGTTTACTATGACATAAAAGAAAAAAAGAATTGCTTATACATAACAATTGAAATGAAGTCTTCTGATAGGAAAATATCAGAGAAATTATCTTTCGTACTACATTCAGATACCAAAGTGTGACGTCATATTGCTCTGTTAATCATCGTCCACTATGGAACACTACGCAATAGTCAAATAGACAAGGGCTGGAATGAGTCGTCTAGGCTACATTCGCGTATCCCGGTTGGAACGGTACGTGTGGCGCAGAAATTTTCCACGATAAACGAACACACTTGGACCGTTCTATAAGCAGAGCTAAGAATCCACAGTTTCGGAGAATAAAAAACAATTGTATCAAGAATATTATGCCCTTCTCTTATGCGTCCACTAAATTACATAACGTATCTTAAAAATTACATGTGACTTGACATTGTTTAAGAAAGAAATAACGCAAATTGGCAATAGTCAGCATTTTAGTTTCGGTCATGTACTTCTGGACCCCTCATTCTACACGTACCAAATTTTCCTGAGGTCAGCCTCGGTCCAAATCTGTACTTGTCGTTTTCTTTACAGGTTCAACCGGTTCAACCGTTTCAACCGGATACGCGAATGTAGCCCAAATAATGTTATATAACTCTGTCTACGACCGGATGAGAACGTCTGTCACGGACTACAACTCTATCCTACAAACGAAGCGTTGGCTCTCGGAACACGGTATGTCGTTCCATTGTCCGTTGCGAGTGCTTATTTCCGTACAGTCTTCATCACCTGTCGAACTGGGTTCGCCGTCCCACCAGTTGGTATAGTAGTTGTCGACAGGCATGTTTTTCTGTTCCCAAACGAACACTCCCTCATGTCCTGCATCTGTGGCTCCAATATGATAAAAATGTACTGGGGAAAGAAGAAAACAAATAAGGTGAAGCTTAGAGGAAAACATTATTTAAGAACAATATTTCTAACACGAATTCTGTTACAAAAATTACATGTTTCGTCTATGTTTATTTCTAACTATGAAACATAATCTAAAAAAGATTGACTGTACAGTTATTTTACTTACTTGTAAATGATAAGTCATTATCATTAATACGTAACACTTATTTTTATTTATATGAGGTAAACTACTGTTTATAAGCGATAATGACCTTTTAAACGTATTATACATCGACATTGGACTTTCCTATGTACAANTAAAAAAACTTTTTTAAAAAAAAAAAAAAAAAAAAAAAAAAGAAAATCCATTTGCATTGTTATTTAAAAAAATTTATATTACATGATAATTGATCTCTGTCACAGACTGATGTCTTTCAAAATGTTTACTTACTGTACTGGTAAGTGTTCAATCTTTCCTTCACAAAATAATTTTCTTCTGCAGAAAGAATATACACAAGGGTTGCATTGACACCAGGCATGCTGTGACAAAAATACTGTAGAACAAAAGAAACGTAATAAATAAACGATTATTCAAAATGAAATTAACGAAGTGTTATTGTAGGATTTAGTAAAACTTGATTTAAGCATACATATGTATTTTTTTTTATATATAGTTGAAAATTGTTAAAAGACCGCCATATTGACCAGGATTCGAATCCTACACCTCAGATCCGCAGATAGTTATTGTATATTGTTATATGTGATTTACATATGTGATTATACAATCTCCAATTGGATGTTTAATGTAGGTATAAATAGTATTTGGTTGTATAGTCTTAATTAAAATTACCTTGGCATTAATCCAGGTAAGTTCATGTGTACTGAAAAAGAAACAACTGTTTCTAAGTCGTTTCCACTCCTCATTTGGACATTCACTGCCTAAGCCTACAAACACAAAAAAAACATGTATTTAAACATGATCACAAATCATTCTATTTCATGTTTTAACAATGCAAAACTGCAGCACTATGTATTTAAAAAAAACTTCTGTTCTAAATATTTATTTTCATTATGAACACGTACAAACCGACAATAGAATATTTCGTGAACCAGTCCATATATACAAACATGTTATTTCTTTTGGATTGCGTCCTGTATGTGTATTCATGAACATGTCATTTCAAACTGAAACGTTATGTTCCAAAGAGAAATCCCCATAGTAAAGACGGTAAAAAGGGAGTTGATGGCTCACAACAGTAATACGTTCGTATCGCCTGAATGCTTAATACCTAGGACTTTTTTTCTGAGATGAGATAGGGCTATTTACAAATGTTGTTAAGTGATAATTTTTTTTTATCTAAATCGTTGAAACGACTTTCACTTGAATTTGGAGTATTCTTCAGGTAACAACTTTGTGAATATATTCAGGAAAATTATTATGAAGTATAACTGATTATTTCCCTAACATGCCTGTACTGGAAGTTAAAGTTGTAAAGGAATCATATTTCTCAAATCAAAATGTTTCATTTTGTTATACAATAGTTGTCTGTTTGAAGACGTCTTCTTATGATAACAAAAGTAGAAAGGATTTTCTTGCTTATCTTTGGAAGGGATATTGTTTTTCATTATTCAAGTCGAAATATTTTGTCTGGTCTTTCAAATATTGTGTAGAACAGGAAAAAGCAGGGTGACATGTTGGTTAATTTCATTTCTTCTTTTACATGAGATAATGATGTAACGACACTTGCTGGCAATAATCAAAATCAATTATGTGCATATTATACAGAAGATTGAAGTGTACTTACCGAGTGCAATGGTGCTACAAAGTACCAGGGCAGTGATGCCATGCATCATGGCGTCCTCTGCACAAAATCAGCAGGTCGGTTGTGAGATAAATTAGACAGAATTTAGGTCACTGCTTCAGTCGTTATTTGCGAAATAGAGATAATTTGAAGTGCTGGCGAGAATACTTCGTGTTATTTGACTGGAATGTGTAAACTAATTTCCAACATCTAACCTACCAATTACTTATGTATCAGAGCCGTCAATTTACAGGGCTGCTGAATGTACCACGGCGAGTTGTCCTCGCGAGTAACGATAGCAGGAGGGTCCGATTACACATGACTAGCTCTTTAAAAACAAATTTACACCATGTGTTTCAGATTTAATAGACATTTAGAAATGACTACTACAATATCGTTTTATAAGGGTTCACATCATTTGTTTAGTCAGCCAAGGTTGTTCATTTCTTCGTTTCAATAAATATTAGTTCATATAGTACGTATTCCTTTAATCGAAAATTAAATATAAACTTTGTAAATTAAAGAAAATATGAAACAAGTTATTTTAACTGACATCAATCACTCGTTTTGGACCGGATGAAAGCGGGTCTTTGGAGGAAGCCGGAATACTCAGAGAAAACCGACGTGGTCGGGCAGGTGACCCTATACCTTTTCACATCCGATCGGGGAATCAAACACGCCCGCTTTTGTGAAAGACATGTGCTATTCACTGTGCCACCCTGTCACCCTCCAATACAATGCGAGGAACTGTTCTGCATGCTGTTCTATACAATTCATAAAATTATTGTTCTGCCATTCTACGAAATTATTTTATGTATATGCATTAGAACTTAGTTATTTCAATATGATTTAGTGGGTACTATATCTGCTGTCAGTATCGTATATCTAACGTAACGAAACGGACATTGTAAAAGTACTTAGTGCTTGTTTCCGAATCGTTGTTGATTATATATTGAAAATATAATGTATTGTATATTACCAGAAATAAATACAGTTTAAACTAAAATACAACGCCAGGTATTTTTACCTTAGCACAACTTTTTGACAAAGAAAAATGTACCAGATTTATTGTACTCCTCCATATCAATACAGTATTATGGCAAACTAAGGATTTGCCATCCTCGATACTCCAGGCGTTACGCTCACTTACGCTGTGTGCAGTACTGATATACGTCATAGCAAAATCAAAGTCTCAGTGTGCGTCACCTTGTGGACGAAACAAGAAAACTAGTTCTAAATAATCTCGCGATCGTGTAACGGTAAAACATACTTGCTTTGAAGTCTGGTGTCGCTCCTCTGTAATATTCAAAGGACAAGTATCAGCCTAGCGATTGGTCAGGATTATTTTTACGTACGACCAATCAAACAGCTGTCTTCGTGCCTTCAATGTTGCTATGACATATCTCAGGAGTGCAGATAGCGGAAGTGAGCGTAGCACCTTGAGAATTGAGGATGTGGATTTACCAGTGAAAGACGTATGGTTCGTTTCTGAATCATAAAGTATTAATCATTGTCATATACCACTGTAAGGATCGATATTTACATCATCTCGGAAATTGTCTGATGTCTGTTTATTCCTCTAACTTCATCAGGGACAAAGGTGCACAAATCAATAATTAAGTCCTCAAAATGAAGTTCTTCTTGCTTTTTCTTCTTATGAATACACAGATTTTGACCGATTTTACTCAAAATCCGTATCATTTTCTTCCTTTGTAACGTCCGCCGTTTTAATAAGAACTTGTTACATATGTCATATGTAAAGTCTACAAAATACCGTTTTTATCCTAATAAGGAAGGAGTAAAAATACACACAACGTGATTCTGAAGCAGTTGTTTTTATTAAAACAAATTATTATGAGAAAAGATGACTGATCAATTAAAGACAGTATTTGAAAATGTAGTTAGCAATGACATGACAAAAATATTGCTGATAGATTAGAAATAGAAATGTATCGCTCTGATTAAAAACAAATATATTTTCAATAGAATTACCCTTCGTATTATACTTGTACGCAAACATTTGACGACATCATATTGTTCGATTAACATTTAAACATAATGTAACTAACGTTCTAGCTCAAATATGAACTTCGAAATCAGTCAATGAGAACAAGTGTAATTATAAGTAGTATATAAACGTATTGTAGTTTCGCTACGACCGGATGGGAACGTCTGTCCCGGACTACAACTCCATCCTACAAACAAAGCGCTGACTCTCGGAACACGGAATGTCGTTCCATGTTCCCGTGCCAGGATTCATTTCCGTACAGTCTTCGTTACCGGCTTGGTTAGGTTCATCAGTCGACCAGTTAGTGTAAGTTAAGGACATGCTGGTCCTATCCCAAGAGAACACTCCCTCATGTCCCGTATCTGTTGCTCCAATGTGAAAGAAATGCTCTGTGGAATGACAGATAGTAAAAAATATTCAAATAAGTATTGACCTGCAATTTTTAAGTGTTCACAGCGGTATGGACATTGAAAAATGCTGTTCAATGCATATATTTTCGTCAGAATTTTTATAGTTATTATCGATCTAAATATATGTATCCCAATATGGTATCAGCCATCACTAAAATGTTTGTTTTTAACGATTGTCTCATGTAAATCTAGGCGAGAGGAGAAGACTCAGAATGACGTTGACTCAATTGCGCTCATAGCCTATGAACGATTTTTTTCTTGAAATGCTTATGGAGGAACATGCAGTCGAAACGTTAATACAAAAATGTGAAGAGGTTTATGAACAGTGGATCTCATTTTGGGTCACAGGAAATACGTGCATAATGTCTATATTCCTCTCCAAGTTCACCTGGTGAACTATTAAACATAATGTAGACAGATTGATGATTGAGTTAATAATATTAAAAACAGACAGTTAATTACAATTCTACTTACCATAATTGTAGGTGTTTAATCTATCCTTAACGAAATCGTTTTCCGTCTCGGATAGGATATACACTAGGTATGCATCAACACCAGATATTCTGTGACAAAAGTCCTGCAGAAAAAAAGAAAATGTATATATAAAAGATATACACCATGCAAACTATTACAAAAATCCTGCAGAAGAAAAGACATTGTATACATAAACGATATGCACCAGACATACTATGACAAAAGAAATGAACAAAGAGTTACACGTTAAGATATATTAAAAATTGATGCCTAGATATATAGACATTTTTGTGATGTTTTGTTTGTAGAAAGAAATTTCTAGAAATCATTCGTATTGGAATGTCTTTTTTATGGAATAGTGTATAAAAAGCCTCAATACACATTTACAAAATAATTAACATCCAAAAAAAAAAAATCGAGGAAAAACAATGTGACCTTGAAGGAAAACACTTTTTTTCACCACACGTGAACCCGTCATTAGGTATCGTGTCTAACGGAGGATATAATTTATGTTACCACTAATACAAGATTCATTGAACGAGACATGTTTGCTATTCGTTAATTGGAGATTATTTTCATTACATTGACGTTTTAATATTTTTGCTAGAGACTTTTTTAAGACGTAGATTTTGTTATCTTGTCAGAAAGTATTGATACCCCGAATAATGAACATTTTACAGCATACCTTAGGAAACTAAATCATAAATATTGAACTCTTTACTTTACATGGGACTAGTTGGCACTTAGTGCCTCTGTAGGGATTTGTATCACCATAAGATTAAGAATATATTACATATTTGATAGACAATTTCGACATCGCTGTGATTATGAAATTTCCAACTTGAAGTGTAACAACATGTCAACCTTTTTGGAAAAATGATAATAAGAAATGAAGAATATTTTTCAAGTTTTTGAATAATAACTAAAACACCTAAAGGTCAATAAGGACCCCAGTCATGTGCCTTAACACCGTCCCCCTTGTTGTTGTAAGTAACAGTTACCTTGACCTTAACATATAAAACCAAACTTCAACATAACAGAGTGTATCACTATGTCAAATTTAGGTATTCTAAAAACTATAATGCACTCCGTATCAATCAAACTGGTGTAACGTTATAACTACAGTAGTCACAGTACTTTGTACCACAATGCTATCTGTGTTCATCAACCTGGTGTAAAGTTATAGGTACAGTAGTCACAGTACTGTGTACCACAATGATATCTGCGTTCATCAAACTGGTGTAATGTCTTAGCTACATTAGTCACAGTACTGTGTACCACAATGATATCTGTGTTCATCAAACTGGTGTAATGTTATAACTACAGTAGTCACAGTTTATACCACAATGATATCTGTGTTCATCAAACAGGTATACGGTTATAGCTACAGTAGTCACAGTACTGTGTACCACAATGATATCTGTGTTCATCAAACTGGTGTAATGTTATAACTACAGTAGTCACAGTACTGTGTATCACAATGATATCTGTGTTCATCAAACTGGTGTAATGTTATAACTACAGTAGTCACAGTTTATACCGCAATGATATCTGTGTTCATCAAACAGGTATACAATGATAGCTACAGTAATCACAGCACTGTATACCACAATGATATCTGTGTTAATCAAACATGTATAAAGTTATAGGTACAGTAGTAACAGTACTGTGTACCACAATGATATCTGTGTTCATCAAACAGGTATACAATGATAGCTACAGTAATCACAGTACTGTATACCACAATGATATCTGTGTTAATCAAACATGTATAAAGTTATAGGTACAGTAGTCACAGTACTGTGTACCACAATGATATCTGTGTTCATCAAACTGGTGTTACGTTATCGCTACAGTAGTCACAGTACTGTGTACCACAATTATATCTGTGTTCATCAAACTGGTGTTAGGTTATAGCTACCGTAGTCACAGTGCTGTGTACCACAATGATATCTGTGTTCATCAAACTGGTATAAAGTTATAACTATCGTAGTCACAGGACTGTGTACCACAATGATATCTGTGTCAATCAAACTGGTGTAATGTTATAACTACAGTAGTCACAGTACTGTGTACCACAATGAAATCTGTGTTCATCAAACTGGTGTAATGTTATAACTACAGTAGTCACAGCACTGTGTACCACAATGATATCTGTGTTCATCAAACTGGTCTAAAGTTATAACTATCCTAGTCACAGGACTGTGTACCACAATGATATCTGTGTCAATCAAACTGGTGTAATGTTATAACTACAGTAGTCACAGTACTGTGTACCACAATTATATCTGTGTTCATCAAACTGGTGTTAGGTTATAGCTACCGTAGTCACAGTGCTGTGTACCACAATGATATCTGTGTTCATCAAACTGGTATAAAGTTATAACTATCGTAGTCACAGGACTGTGTACCACAATGATATCTGTGTTCATCAAACTGGTATAAAGTTATAACTATCGTAGTCACAGGACTGTGTACCACAATGATATCTGTGTCAATCAAACTGGTGTAATGTTATAACTACAGTAGTCACAGTACTGTGTATCACAATGATATCTGTGTTCATCAAACTGGTGTAACGTGATAGGTACAGTAGTCACCGTACTGTGTACCACAATGATATCTGTGTTCATCAAACTGGTGTTAGGTTATAGCTACCGTAGTCACAGTGCTGTGTACCACAATGATATCTGTGTTCATCAAACAGGTATACAATGATAGCTACAGAAATCACAGTACTGTATACCACAATGATATCTGTGTTAATCAAACATGTATAAAGTTATAGGTACAGTAGTAACAGTACTGTGTACCACAATGATATCTGTGTTCATCAAACTGGTATAAAGTTATAACTATCGTAGTCACAGGACTGTGTACCACAATGATATCTGTGTCAATCAAACTGGTGTAATGTTATAACTACAGTAGTCACAGTACTGTGTACCACAATGGTATCTGTGTTCATCAAACTGGTGTAATGTTATAACTACAGTAGTCACAGTACTGTGTATCACAATGATATCTGTGTTCATCAAACTGGTGTAAAGTTATAGCTACCGTAGTCACAGTACTGTGTACCACAATGCTATCTTTATTCACCAATCTATGCGTAAGATAGGTAATTGAGTAGGAAAAATATGTCAGAAATAACAGCTACTTCATGTGTGAGACATTATGTTGACAATAAAAGAATTTTAAATAGTTTTAGCAAAACGTACCCGGGCACTAGTCCACGATCGTTCCTCGGTACTGAAAAAGAAACAACTGTTTTCGAGTCGCTTCCACTCCTCATCTGGACATTCATTACATAAGCCTGCAAAGACATAAAAAAATGATTATGAAATATTATGAACCAGTTTTTGTCTACAAACAAATTATTTTAGGTTTATCTTTACGTACAATAAAACATTGTTACACTGACACCATTTGTCAAGTGAAATGTTGGCGTTATAAAGGGGTTTGGCGATAAATTGAGTGAACTATATAAAGGAATTCTTTAAGAAAACAAGTGAAAAGGGGCATAGAAATATGTTGCCGGCAAACAAGGTTGGAAATTAAACGAGGAGCATCATATCAAGGGTTTAGTCTAAATAGATAGAGAGGAAGAACACACATATACATTATTACAATTATCCTGGTCAGCAGGGGTACATTTTTGTTAAATTCATCACAATCTCTTTTAATGAAGAATCCCTGAAAAAAAAGGCGGGGTCTGAATTTTACTATTACGAAACCCCATTAACATACACAATGTCTGACCATTAAACTAATGTACATGTAAGTTTGCATAATTAATGTAATTGATAAAATACCAAATCCAATAAATAAATCATGTTCTAATGTTTATGCTAAAACAAAATCTGTCAGGGATGCTTTCGTCTCAAAGTTGATTTTGTGGAGAAAAAAGCCAGTGAAATGGTTTGAAACTGTAACTTTTACTGGAGATAAAGATATATCAACATGTGTCATCACTAATTAACCATCAAAATTTAAAGAAGATTGAAGTGTACATACCGAGTGCTATGGTGCTACAAAGTACTAGGGCAGTGGTGACATGCATCATGGCGTCCTCCGCACAAAATCAGCAGGTCGGTTGTGAGATAAAATGGACAGAATATATAGCCCTTTGTTTAAGCAATCAAATGAGAAATAGAGACAATTTGAAACAATGGGGAGAATACGTAGTGCTATTTGGCTGGAATGTAGGATATGACTTCCGACATTTAACCTACCAATTACTTTTATATGAGCGTCGGCTATTTACGAAGCTACATTTTAAATGCATTTAAATACATTATACTTTGTATCACGACGCGCCATCCTCGTTAGGAACAGCAAGATGAAGGTCAGATGACTCATGCTTTGGTCTCTTAACACAAATTACACCCTATGTTTTACATTTATTATAATTGCAACATGACAACTATAATAACATCACGCTTCTGATCAAAGTTTTCACATCACTTAACAGTTTTGTCGATTAATAGAGAATGTTTAGGTGCTACGTTGGCCTAGTGGTTAATGTGTCTGACACTTTTTTAACACTAGCCCTCCGCCAATGGGTCGCGTGCTCGAAGCTGACATGGGACACTCACCAGGTACTTTCCGCAGGTCGTTGGATTTTCTCCGGGTACTCCGGCTTTCCTCCACCACCAATATCTATGTTTCTATCCTATTAGGTTCACTTGTCTAACTAACAATGCCTCATTAGTTAGGACACGTATTATAATGGTTAATACATAACTGGAAACAAACAACAACAAAAGAAGTTTTAGTAGCAGCAACAGAAAGTACGAACACAGAAGTAGAATCAGAAAACGAATGATAATAATAGTAATTGTAATAGACATTCTTTATTGAGGATAAATACAAGTTTAGCCATTGGCTAAACTTCCACATGATCCTCTTGTTAGTAAAATACATGTGTTTATTATGAATTACATTACACACACACACACACACACACACATATATATATATATCTATATATATATATATATGTAAGAAACACACAATAGCATAAAATATATAGTATCATAGTTTTCTCAGACACAGTCACCATGAAATTATTATCACAGATTCTTAAGTGAAGAATATCACAGAATGCACAATTATCATGCACAGTCGTTTCATCAATTAAAGGGCACATGCCCAATTTACATATATGCTAACATAGCAAAAACATAAAAATTGACATAGTCATACGCTAACGTAGTATAGTTAAAAAAACAAAATTGTTTTTACTTCATTGAAAAAGCTACTTATGAAATGTTTGAAGTTGTTTGACAAGCTTCTGTTTAAAACTGTTAAATGTACTGACATTCTTTAGCTCTTCTGGATGTCCATTCCAAAATTGAATACCAGCAATAAAAAAATGTTTCGAATAAAATGTTGTTCTGTGTTTCGGAACACATATGTTATTTGCATCCGATAACCTAGTACTTCTTGTATGGACATTCCTAGCTAGGCAAACATGTTTTTGCTGAGTAAGGTTTTACTAATCCATTTAGACATTTAAAAACCATACATACTATTTTAAATTCGAGTTATTTTCGATTGGAATCCACTTTAAAGCTAAAAACACGTCCTTAGATGGAGTGTCATACAGAACTTTGAAAATAGATCTGGCTGCTTGTTTTGAGCTTTAGATAATTTATCCATTAGTTTTGCTGTACAACCTGACCAAACTATACTACAATGTTTACAATTGCCACTGTTTCTGAATCGATAACCTAAGTCTGTTTGTTTCTCAATAACTTGAGTGTAGAACGTGACCCAGTTCACCGCGTATGGATATATGAGACAGACAGACAGACATTCTGTATTTCCTCTGATAAGAGAATACATGGTCTTGTCGTTTTTAACAATTTCAACAATTTACAGCATGCACACTACATATTTACATAATACTACAGTTTCTTACTGTATTCTTCAAACTATGCTCAAGAGCTAGAGCTGCTCTGGAGGAGTATGTTCATTTCTGTGAACATCCAAGCAAGTTTGTCACTTATAGCAAGCATCAGATTGTCCCATTCTCCATCGTCCAAATAAATATCGTTCCTTCCACCAAGAATAAATGAACATTTTTCGTCTTCCTCTAGCATATCGTATTGTACATATTTTCCAACGCTTATAAGATTAACTATTTGTTCCAGCAAGATGTCTCTACTTTTGAATAATGTGGGACATTGTATAATGAAATGTTTAACGTCATTGTTCACAACTTTTTTGCACAATTTACACATCACATTTTGGAATTCAGCCCTGTAGGAAAGCTTGATTAATTCACAAATTTTCCATGTGCTTTTAGGAAATTTCAACGTTAGAGACCATAAGGGATTGGGTCCAATATATTGATGAACTGCCCTATAATATAACAGATCGGGACGATTTCTGCACATTTTACACCATACATCATAGTAATAGTTTGTTGTGACTTTCTTAATAAACGATTTCCACTGAAACTCTCTACAGCACGCACCAGAGAACACAAACTCGAAAAAGAATGTCTCGATGTTAAATTTCACCATTGCATGGAAGATGTCTACGATGAAGCTTACGTTTTGAAACGATTGTGAGGTGAACATGAAGATTTCCAGACAAAAGATAATTTAGCATTACACAGTTTGCTCCAAAGGTACAGTTTTCTGATTTCTACATCAGACCATAAATCATCAGGTAAGTCAATAGCTCTGTTAGTTATGGCCGACGACGAAGTTTTCTCAAAACCCTGGCATCTTCGTGCAGCATACCGCATGGTTCTATTGAACATATCGATGGACTTCTGCGTAGCATTTGCCCAAAGTTCACATCCGTCCATAACACCTGGTATGATAATTGCTTTAATGAGTTGTGCACGTTTAGAGGATTCAATCCGCCTGGATGGATACCAACACTCATTAGACTGTTAAGGTTCATTCTACCTTTGTCGCACGCGCTTTCTATACCGACATCAGTTTTTAGGTTTGAACAAAAAGTTATTCCCGCGTAAACCTTTGTATCAGTCCATTCGATAATCGCGCCTCCCAGAGAACATACAGCTGATGGTTTATTGACGATTCGTCTCTTATATGAAAATTCAATCAGCGAAGATTTAGCAGAGTTATAATTTAGCTTCCAAAGATTAGCATACGCATTTACGATATCTAGTTGAGCTTGGAGATTCGTGATGCTTCCAGCTAATAAGAGCGTGTCATCAGCTAATAATACGCAGGGGATATGTAGCTTTTGAATCTGTAAACCCTGTTCCGCTTCATCCAGAGCACGTGCGAGACCGTTTATCATAACGAGGAATAGCCAGGCTGATAAAGTTCTCCCTTGACCGACCCCTTGCTTAACTGGATAGTCTTTGCTAATTTTGCCGTCATACAGTACACGCGAGGTCACGTTTTGAAACGAATTTTGCAGTATTCTCCAAAATTTACCATTAAAACCGAGTCTGTACACCTAATGTAATAGCCCGTCTATCCATACACTGTTAAATGCTTTTGCATTGTCCAAGAAGGCAGCAAATACCTTTGTCCTATTTTCGATCTAATGACATATCGATTCCTTGACAGTGAACGCTGCCATAATACTTCCACATTCCGCTCTAAATCCCTGTTGTAGTCTATGCGGAAACTGCATTTCAGCACATCGAACTGTTAACCTCTGATATATAACTTTTTCGAATAGCTTTTGCAGAACTGGTGTTAACGTGATGTCTCTATAATTGTTTTTATTCAATTTGTCTTTATTGCCACCTTTGAATAATGTTATTACTATACCTTTTTTAAAATGTACTGGGTATTCTTCTTTTGTTAGTATTTGATTGAAGAGTATAACGATCGCGTCCAGCAGACTTTTACCACCGTAACGAATATGTTCGATGACTTTATCATCATGTCCTCCCGCTTTACCATTTTTCATACTCTTGATCGCTGTCGTAGTTTCACTTTTTGAAATAGCTCGATCGCAAATACCATCACTATTTGCAAAGCTTCTGACGAACATATCGTGAATATCTAACTGTATCTTAGCCCGATGACTATTATCAAAATTGGTTTGCTCAGACGGTAGAGCTAACTTACTATAGTGCTCAAACCAAACATTCTTTAGTTCATCTGAATCGCGGAGGATTTTATTGTCAACTTTAAGTTCTGAACATCTGTAACCATTACATTTTCTTGCCCGAACAGCCTTATAGTATGTGCCGATATCAACTTCAGCTGCTTCCTGCAGGTGATCGAGTTGCTGCTGTTCGTATAGCTCCCTTGCTTCTGTTAATGCTTTACGAAAGATAGTTTTTGAATCCTTATAATCTTTGTATGATTTATGTTCTGTACCGCGCGGACGCCACTCAGCTTTCCACACTATACGATACTGCCTCATTGACGTATGCAGTTCTATAACACTTCTGAAGTTCGAATATGGTTTTAAGTATTTACGATACTGCTTAACTGGCAATGTAGCTTTCGCTGAATCATTTATCGCGGAAACAATAATCTGTACTAAGCTGTCGAGATCATCTAAATCCTTCGCTTCGCGGAGTTTAGTAGTATTACCAATCATCTGCGCTACTTTGCCGGCATAAGCAACCTTTTGCTCGGAAAACACTTTTATCCAATTAACGGCCTTTGACGACAATCTATCTCTATGCGTGTTCCTTAAAGTACAACAGAATTCTAACGACACAGGTAGATGATCAGATACATTAAGAAAATGATCGTCGTGTATTTCGCACGTTTTCACATTATCTATATCATGTGTTCCTATTAAAATGTGGTCAATCAATGAGCTCTTCGAGCCGTCCCACGATACATAAGTCACATCACCTCCTTTCGACCACTGTTGTGAATTAACAGAGATGAGATTGTTTTCAATAATAAGAGTCTCAAGGAGTTTTCCTCTGTCGTTTGTCTCGTAGCGATTCTTTTTACCAAACCGTTCCGATATCCGTCCATTAAAGTCGCCAAGAATAATAACGGTACCTTGTTCGCTATACCGTTGATATAAATCAGACATTGCTTATAACGTTTCTCGGTACAGAGCCATAGAAAGATTAGTCGACGGCATCAATACCCCGAAGACATACATAAACGACTTGTCCACCAGTTGTACTGAGACCCCTATTATACGATCATTCCCTTCGTTCATCAGGGGCGATATATTCAGGTATTTCTTCCAAAGAATCGCAATTCCACCAAACCCTCTCGGATGCGTCCTCAGTTCCAGCTCTATAGGAATGCGTGTATCACTCCGTCCAAACGAGTCAAAACTACAGTTAATACTGTTCAGAAAATTAAGCTGTTCTGGCGGTAACCAATGTTCCTTTATAACAGCAATGTCCGTATCGCGAAGAATCTCGCCTAGTAAAGGGGTGCCGTACATTACCCCTCGAGTGTTCCACGTAAGAAGCTTCACGACAAAATATAGTAAGAACGAAAGCATCAACACAGAGTTAATCACCACGAGTATGGACTGTTGGCAGTGGCATCTGCAGTAATTCGCGACATTATGAGCCTTTTGCTTCTAGGTCTACGACGAACACCATGGAATTCGTATGTAGATTTCCCTGCCTCCTCACTAGGTTGTTGATGTTGCGTATTCTGCCAATGAACAGTAGCAGTTGATTTCGTGCGTTTATCTCACGTCTCTTTAGGATCAACATGTTCTGCACCGATTCGTCGATCGCAGTGTCTTTATTTCGGTTAGATAATTGCTCTATTATTGGCGCTGTCACTCTACCGTTAAGAACATTGCCATGCGTGGTGGAGTTATATGGAACCGACACTTCTGTACTCTTATTACCTGCGGTAACATCTGCGTAGGTACCTTTTGTATTATGTTCGATATTTTGATCGAGTGTATTTTGCACAAATGACACTCTTCGTTCCAATGCATTTATTGTCTTATCTTTTATTTTGACTGTTTCGCGAAGCCCACGTATTTCATCGCGTAATTTTCGTATCAGGTGCCGATTTGCGGTGTCTATTGAGTTTAACTGTTCCATAATTTCTCCTCTCATTCCGACAATCAGTATTGCTAGATCAGCAAAGTTCTGTATTCCGTTGTCTGTTGTAATACAACTCTCTCCCTTTGTGAATTTCTGTATATTGTCACTAATAATTTGCAAGTCTGGCAAAGGTGATTCTACGTCGTCGTCGGAGATGCTCGCATTAAGAATAGACTCATTAGCTTCGCATATCGATCGGTGTCTGTTTTTGAACGTCAAGATATTGCGGACCTCTCCTACCTCAACACTTCCGTCCACATAATGGAACAACGTATAACTATCTTCGAGGTACTTCTCTACAGCCGTAGAATTACCAGCGTTTGTTCTTTTCACGAGGGTCCCTAATGGAGTCTCAGATTTCCTCACCAACGATGTCATAGAGCGATTGTCTAACATAAGACAAACTGTCCGGCTTGTTTTTATATATAGACCGCACTTTTTCCTTAAACTTCGTTTTATCGCGTCCACCTGCTATTTCTGTCAACAAAGCGTACACATTTGTATCTATTTGAGTTGACGTCATACTTGAGTCGTGTATCTCTTCACTGAACTCTGCTGAGTTTTGCAAGTTTTCTTTATTTTTCTGCATATTAAACACGCAATGAAATGTTATTGTTAATAGTCTATACGTTCATATCCGCGTCGATATATACACCGATATAACGATCGGTTACCTATACACCGATAGCGAGATCACAGCTCACGTGTGTTAGTGTGTCCAGTGTTAACGCTTCATTGGTCACTATATGTATATGATACACAATCAAAGGACAGCTTTTCACTCAAAGTTCTCTACTTTTATACACACAAGTATCAATATAAGTACATCATAAGTTTGTCAATCAAGTTAGGATGTCCGATGCCAAATCGGTACGATGTAGGACATCGCAAAATCGAATAAACACAGATTACCTGCGGACGGCGATACAACCGTGTCCGTTCACCTTGACCGCCACCACTCCAATGGATATATGTAAATATTCGCATGCTTCTTTCCGCAAACATCGTGTCAATGTTTACAAACAAACGCTAGCATTTACACTTCCGTGCGTTCTAGATACCAACATTTTTTTATTTTTTTTAATTAAGATGCTTTTGTCAGCTAGCGTCAGAAGCTACAGTCGCGATTGTTCGTCGGTACAAAAATGCTCCATCATCTCCACTCCCTCATCTATGAGTGTCGGCCGCCGTGACACAGAAACGATGGCTATCGTTCCTAGAAATATAGGTCAAATTATTCGTCTCCCAAAAATCTCTCGGCCGACAAACGATTTATCCACATCATACATGTCATCTGTACAAACCTCTGGTATGCTTACAAACAGCGATTTCAATAATTGCACATCTAATTTCCACCAAGCCTAGGCTAGTTACTATCGCTCGACGACATGGTAGCACTCTCTATTTACCGCCTTTGGGCGCATCACTTTGCAAACGATGGACGTATGCGGTCATTAGTACTTTCTACTTAGTCTTTTGCCCCATTACCTCAATTTCATACAAATATAAAATTATTTATTCCATTACCTACACATACAAATACGAGGATATTGTATGAAGTAAAATATATTTTATGTGTATAAAAATATTGAAATAGAAGAACTTTTTTCTTTTGTTGTCACGGAGAAAGTGGGCGGGGTTTAGCTGCCTTCCAACGGCTATTTCGCATGGATTAACATGACGTCAAAATAATTTTGAACGCAGATTACACAAGGTTAATGCTTGCATCCGACTCTTTTAATGGTGTTATTGTTAAAAATTTTTATTGTAAATATAAGGATTAACCTTTGATTTTGTTTAATCCAATGGAGAAGTCGGTAAATTGTTCCTAAAAGCGAAGCGTTTACGCAATTTTCCTCGTACTCCATTGGATTTATTATCTCATAAACGAAACAAAATAAAAGGTTAATCCTTAAATATATAAATTATGTCGAATTTTGGTAACAATGGACGAAATGTGTCCCTGGAATGACAAGCACTCATCTATATTTACACCCAAAAGTTTTTCTTGATGAACTTGCTCAAGCGGAACATCTTTCATAATTAAATTCAATGTATAAACATTACGTGATAACTTTTGTTTTGAAGCAACTAGTATGCATTTAGTCTTAATGACATTTACTATCATTATAGTTTTTAATGCACCAAGTCACAACATTAGATAAATCATGTTGAAGATTGAACAAATTCTATTGAATCGTCTGCATGCATGTCAGTCTGGGATTTCTCACACAATGGTAAGTCAATGATAAAAATTAAAAAACATCAGAGGACCCAGTATAGATCTTTGTGGTACACCTTGTGTTATACTCATTGATTCTGATAAACTACCAGCAATTGATACTTGCTGGGATCGATTTGCGAGGTATGATGTAAACCACGTGACCGTTATGGGATCACATTTATAAAATCTTAGTTTATCAATAAGGACAATTTGATTTACTAAATCAAAGGCCTTTATTAAAATCTAAAACTATCACCCCAGTTAAAAAAACCTTCACCAATAATCTTTGCCCATGAATTTACAATGTTCAACAGGACATTTTCAAACGAGCGTTTCTCATTAAAATCTGACTGTGCAGAAATGATGAGGTTATTTTCATTTAAAAAATGATAAAATGCACTATGTTCATTTCGTTCAAACAATTTTGACAAAATAGGTAACACAGAAATCGGACTATAGCTACTGTACTTCCACTTTTAAACAGAAGTGTGACTTTAGCCATTTTTCACTGGCTTTGTAATTTACCTTTGTTATTGAAGGTGCAATTTCAGAAAATGCAACTTTCAGGAGTCGCGAACTTACAACATCTATACCAACAGCCTTTGTGATATCTAATTATTTTAAAAAGTTTTCAACAAAATGCAATCTCCATATTAGGAATTGTAAAGCTACATTTTGCAGACTTGTTTTGAGAGATAAAACCTTTAAGCTTTTCAAATGTAGAGTCAATATTATCATGATGAGAAGTGAGTTTCCCGGCAATATCTCTGGATCAACAGTAGTAGCAGCATCAACAGCAGCAGAGACTACAAACACAGACGTCACTACAAAATCAGCAGTAGTAGTAGCAGCAGAGACTACAAACACAGACGTCACCACAAAATCAGCAGTAGTAGTAGCAGCAGATATTACAAAAACTGACGTCACTACAAAATCAGCAGTAGTAGCAGCAGCAGAGACTACAAACACAGACGTCACTACAAAATCAGCAGTAGTAGTGTTAGCAAAGACTACACACACAGACGTCACTACAAAATCAGCAGTACTAGTAGCAGCAGAGACTACAAAAACTGACGTCACTACAAAATCAGCAGTAGTAGTAGCAGCAGATATTACAAAAACTGACGTCCCTACAAAATCAGCAGTAGTAGTAGTAGCAGAGACTACAAACACAGACGTCACTACAAAATCAGCAGTAGTAGTAGTAGCAGAGACTACACACACAGACGTCACTACAAAATCAGCAGTACTAGTAGCAGCAGAGACTACAAAAACTGACGTCACTACAAAATCAGTAGTAGTAGTAGCAGCAGAGACTACAAACACAGACGTCACTACAAAATCAGCAGTAGTAGTAGTAGCAGAGACTACACACACAGACGTCACTACAAAATCAGCAGTACTAGTAGCAGCAGAGACTACAAAAACTGACGTCACTACAAAATCAGTAGTAGTAGTAGCAGCAGAGACTACAAACACAGACGTCACTACAAAATCAGCAGTAGTAGTAGTAGCAGAGACTGCAAACACAGGCGTCACTACAAACTCAGCAGTAGTAGTAGCAGCAGAGACTACAAACACAGACGTCACTACAAAATCAGCAGTAGTAGTAGCAGCAGAGACTACAAACACAGACGTCACTACAAAATCAGCAGTAGTAGTAGCAGCAGAGACTACAAACACAGACGTCACTACAAAATCAGCAGTAGTAGTAGCAGCAGAGACTACAAACACAGACGTCACTACAAAATCAGCAGTAGTAGTAGCAGCAGAGACTACAAACACAGACGTCACTACAAAATCAGCAGTAGTAGTAGCAGCAGAGACTACAAACACAGACGTCACTACAAAATCAGCAGTAGTAGTAGCAGCAGAGACTACAAACACAGACGTCACTACAAAATCAGCAGTAGTAGTAGCAGCAGAGACTACAAACACAGACGTCACTACAAAATCAGCAGTAGTAGTAGCAGCAGAGACTACAAACACAGACGTCACTACAAAATCAGCAGTAGTAGTAGCAGCAGAGACTACAAACACAGACGTCACTACAAAATCAGCAGTAGTAGTAGCAGCAGAGACTACAAACACAGACGTCACTACAAAATCAGCAGTAGTAGTAGCAGCAGAGACTACAAACACAGACGTCACTACAAAATCAGCAGTAGTAGTAGCAGCAGAGACTACAAACACAGACGTCACTACAAAATCAGCAGTAGTAGTAGCAGCAGAGACTACAAACACAGACGTCACTACAAAATCAGCAGTAGTAGTAGCAGCAGAGACTACAAACACAGACGTCACTACAAAATCAGCAGTAGTAGTAGCAGCAGAGACTACAAACACAGACGTCACTACAAAATCAGCAGTAGTAGTAGCAGCAGAGACTACAAACACAGACGTCACTACAAAATCAGCAGTAGTAGTAGCAGCAGAGACTACAAACACAGACGTCACTACAAAATCAGCAGTAGTAGTAGCAGCAGAGACTACAAACACAGACGTCACTACAAAATCAGCAGTAGTAGTAGCAGCAGAGACTACAAACACAGACGTCACTACAAAATCAGCAGTAGTAGTAGCAGCAGAGACTACAAACACAGACGTCACTACAAAATCAGCAGTAGTAGTAGCAGCAGAGACTACAAACACAGACGTCACTACACAATCAGCAGTAGTAGTAGCAGCAGAGACTACAAACACAGACGTCACTACAAAATCAGCAGTAGTAGTAGCAGCAGAGACTACAAACACAGACGTCACTACAAAATCAGCAGTAGTAGTAGCAGCAGAGACTACAAACACAGACGTCACTACAAAATCAGCAGTAGTAGTAGCAGCAGAGACTACAAACACAGACGTCACTACAAAATCAGCAGTAGTAGTAGCAGCAGAGACTACAAACACAGACGTCACTACAAAATCAGCAGTAGTAGTAGCAGCAGAGACTACAAACACAGACGTCACTACAAAATCAGCAGTAGTAGTAGCAGCAGAGACTACAAACACAGACGTCACTACAAAATCAGCAGTAGTAGTAGCAGCAGAGACTACAAACACAGACGTCACTACACAATCAGCAGTAGTAGTAGCAGCAGAGACTACAAAAACTGACGTCACTACACAATCAGCAGTAGTAGAAGCAGCAGAGACTACAAACACAGACGTCACTACACAATCAGCAGTAGTAGTAGCAGCAGAGACTACAAACACAGACGTCACTACAAAATCAGCAGTAGTAGTAGCAGCAGAGACTACAAACACAGACGTCACTACAAAATCAGCAGTAGTAGTAGCAGCAGAGACTACAAACACAGACGTCACTACAAAATCAGCAGTAGTAGTAGCAGCAGAGACTACAAACACAGACGTCACTACAAAATCAGCAGTAGTAGTAGCAGCAGAGACTACAAACACAGACGTCACTACAAAATCAGCAGGAGGAGTAGCAGCAGTGACTACTAACACAGACGTCACTACAAAATCAGCAGGATGAGTAGCAGCAGAGACTACAAACACATACGTCACTACACAATCAGCAGGAGGAGTAGCAACAGAGACTACAAACACATGCGTCACTACAAAATCAGCAGTAGTAGTGGCAGCAGAGACTACAAACACAGACGTCACTACAAAATCAGCAGTAGTAGTAGCAGCAGAGACTACAAACACAGACATCACTACAAAATCAGCAGTAATAGTAGCAGCAGAGACTACAAACACAGACGTCACTACACAATCAGCAGTAGTAGTAGCAGAAGAAACCACAAAATCAACAATAGTAACAGCAGAAACTAAAAACTTCAACACTAGTTACAGCAGCAGCAGAAGCAGAAACTAGAACAACAATAGCAGCAGAAACTACATAAACAACAATAGGATCAGCAGCTGTGACCTATGGTATCCGCATCACTAACTTTGATCAGAACGTGCGGTTTAGTTTATTAACTCCAAAAAATCATGAATAAACCATACATACATATATATCAATTGGGGCTTGCTGCAGGTAGGGCGTAATAACTGTACCTGCTGCCCCCATTGCATGATCGTAAGAGGCGACTAAATTTGGGATCCTATCTTTTCTCTTCTTTCTAAACAACTTTCTTCTTCCTAATGTCTCCCTTGACAATTCCCCACTTTTGGCCTTTAGTAGATCTTTCGCCCCTGTGAGGAAGGATTTGGGTTCTGTCCCCTGGTCGAGACATACCAGTGTCTGTAAAAATGGTAGTTTCTACTCCTGCTTAACGCTCAGCAATTTAGGAGTGGGACGACTGGTTCGCTCGTTGTCAATATAGTGTGACCGGGTGGGGTGTTCTGCTGGGTGTCTTTGACAGTATGTTTCAGTGAGGTAGCGCTATAAAGCCTCCCATAACACACACGTTCACACTTTTAAAAACGACAATGCTATCGTTTGACGGATGCTATTCAGACTTAGTGTGTTTAATGTCGGTATGTGTTCGCGTACTGACGCTGTAATGAAGTGACTCATTGGTATATGATGGAAACGATGTATAGACCCTTATTGTGGGCGGTTTGTGCAATTATGACAACCCAAGGTCAGTGAATTTTCATATCAGTTTAAGCAAGTGATTAGGCACATGTTGTTGCAACTTATCTTCCTATGTTTTTGTCAACACACACTAGCCTGATAATAATGGAAACAGTGGATCTTTTAGTCCAAATACAATTTGAAATCTAAATATTATTGCTGACTTTGATGATGAGTCGACGTACATAATCATAATTCTCGAGAAAAATCTACGGGTACTACTGGTGACCATTTAGCTCAGTCGGTAACAGAGATGGATTAATGGTCAGAGTTTCATGGTTCGAATCCTGGTCTGGTGCGTTGCATCTTTAAACTCAGAACCCTGTTAGTTTTTTTTTTTTTTTATCTATTCCATCTTAATCATTTTTGTTTTTCATCAAAGAGCTATGGCAGAAAACTGTCCATATTTCCCTAAGTCGGCATTTATGAAAACGGAAAAAATATTAATGAGTTATTAATTTCCAACTGCGAAAATGCATAGAATAGATATAAAACCAATTGAATATGAATGTTTAAACTGCTGAGATGTTAGGTATTGTTACAATGGTATATGATACTGCAAATATAGCCATACTCACTTTATCTATGGAAATGATGGGGTTTCCCAGACTTAAAAAACATACTTTCAACACTTTGTCATGCGAGGACCAACATTTGAATAAAATTTCTTATTCCGTGATGTAATATGTAAAAACAAATCGTATTCCGGAAAAGTTGACCTCCTTTGGGAAAGTGCTCAAAATAATGAAAAGCAGGGATGAGCGAGATTCTTAAATGCGACAGGTGCTTTTTTGGTTAAAACAGTGTGTATTCCCATCTTCGTCCATGTCCGATGCGGCCGAAAAAAGGCCAAGCTAAAAAAAAAAAGAACTGTTTTTTCTCTCTCACAAATATAATACCGAAAAAACGGGAAAATTCATCGTTGACAATCTCATTTGTTTTAATGCAGGAAGACTGCTGCACAAAGTAAGGATCGCTTTACACGTGTAAGACGTACTTTCGAAATTAATATTTGTATTTCATTTTGCCATTCATAGGTGCGGGAAAAACCAAAATCAAGATGTGTGTTTTGTAAGAAAGTTGGTAACGGCATGACGCAGGCAGTAGTAATGAAAATCAAATCCTTTCGAAACTTGTTGGTAATGATTGTACAATCTTGTGTTACATCCATCATTTTAATTGTTTTAAATTCATGGAAATGACGCGAAATAAGCATTTGTTGAGCCTTAATGGTGAAACGCATGCATCAATAGCCATGTCTTGAATTCGACTGGGATTCCGATAGAGCTACCTGTATAAAAATACTTGAGGACGCGTCATGACAGTACACGGTGGCACGCGCGCACTAGCCGATCACAACTTTGGGGAAATAGGCATAGGAACCCGCCATGAAAAAATGAAGAAAAATAATTTAAACAATGTATAATTAGAGGGTATTGTAGTATGACTGTTCTCACATCAGACCAAAGATTTGCCTGGTCTACCTGTATCAGGCACACGGACCGGAAGCTCGTGGACCTGCTATAAATTGAGCTCCCCTCCCTCTTAAATCCATAAATAAATCTATAGATTTTCTCAGACTTTAATTATGCTGCACTAACTATTATATATAGAGCATTTTCAATCGTAACCAGCACATGAACCTACAGCAAAGACTACACAGCACAAAAAGGAGTTAAATTCAGTCTTTACGAAAATGATCTGAATCTAGCTTGGTTCGGTCTGTTTTAGCAGAGATATATTTTTCTTGAACTACCGAGGCTCCGACAACGATCTTTTCCTGTTAGAAGACATCAATATTTCATAGCCGATGAATGATATTCAATTGTACGTTTTGCTTTTCTACATGAGCCAATATTGTAACTGCCTATCAAAACGACTGATTTGAATTAAACCACAAAAGAATGACATTTGAATGTTTATTCATATTTACTACATAAAGATACATAACAATAAAAATTAGAAACATAACAGATAGCACTTATAATTCTTATATACAAAATAACATATTGATAATTATATCCAATATGTTACGAATTACCAAGCTCATATTTGTGTTACACAACATGGGGCGACTCGAACTCAAACCCTCAGACCATTCTTTAATTCAGACGCATTTTATGTTACATTTGATATCAACAAAGTAAACCTAGATCATAATTAGCATTTTAAAACCATTTCTTATACATCTAAAGCCATTTAAAACAGGGTTTGTCTGGCAAGTGTTTAGTGAAAGGATTACGCGATCTTTCCAACTTTGGTAGATTTTAATGAGCGCAATTTCCTTTTCTGGAACCCGTTCGTCAGTACTCATCGATAGGCACTCTTCAGTTATGCAACATGCATGCCAAATAAGATATAACTATCCTTGCCCATTCACAAGAGGTTGACTTTTAAGTATAAACCCCTATTTTCCTTTAAGGTTCCGTCCCTCCTTCCCAAGCATTGCAAATCCTTCATTTAAACACCATTTTATTTTCCTGGCTCATCATTTGGCCATATCCATGCCAAGATTTGTTAAAATCTCAAAACCCCTTCAGCCGTTCTGGGCTTAAAGTAAAGTTGATGACGGACAACGCACTTAACGCCATTAAATACGCCTGCATGGCCTTTCGCTCCAAGTGATGATATGTATGCGCACATCTTCACTGCTTATTCGCCAGGACACGTGACGTAAATAAACTTAAGTTTATCTTCTGCTTAGCTAAGCTCTTCTATACTTTTTTCTCTTTTTGTTTTAAGCCATCAAAACCATAGCAGGAAAATCATTATAAATATATACATAAAAAGGCAAGAACATATATAAAACAAAAAATGAACCGTCAAAATCAAGTTAAAACCAACTGTTAATGCACACATAAAACTAGCGACAAAGATAGTGGTCACTCATTCAACAGCTCAAACCTGTGTTAATCGACATCCCGATCAAGTTGCTTCTAGCTAAAACCTGTAGAATGCGACCATTTTCCTAAAGCTGGAATACATGTATACACATAGCTACATGATGCTCTCAATATCTTATCAGATGTTTATAGCGTGTCAGTGACAACCATCTGTCTATAGTTACTACTTTCCTGAAGCTATCATCATCTTCATAGATATGCCCGTATTACAGCGACAAACTATTTCTAGATAAAACCTGTCTAGAGCAACCGCCTGTGTATAAGAACCCCCTGTTTTAGCTGCATCTTGTGTGTATCACCCACATGTATATATCTAGCTACAGACTGAGTATTCCGACCACCTTTCTGTAGGTAACAATCGTCTACATATACACACACTTATGGACCCCTTCCACATGTGTCTTGCTGTTATATGTAAAGCGATAGTTATATATAAGACTACTACCTGTCTTTAATGACCCATGACAAATTAAGCCATTATGTTATATTGTGTTCCAAGACAGCTGTTGCTTTCCCCATGAACGCTCGTTATATCACCAACCAACACATTCATGTTGAAACCAAACAATACATTGCATTAAAAGATTCAGCTTTTAAACAAAAAGCTTTTAAACAAAAATGCTACGTTGTAGCATAGCCACACTTATTTAACTTTTTTCTGTATTATAGGTGTATTTATTATATTATTACTTTTGCTTTGGTTTGTTTGTGTTTTACGTCCTATTAACAGCTATGGTCATTTAAGGACGTGCCAGGTTTTGGTGGGGGAGAAAAGCTTGAGCTCCCGGAGAAAAACCACTGACCTACGGCCAGTACCTGGCGATATATTATATATTATTACAATATATAGTAAATCACCCCTAGTCCGGACAATGCAATTTTAGTCAGGGATAAAAAGGTCAGGTCATTCAGTTTCTCGTTTCTTTTGTTGCCTTTTTCCTATCAACTTCAATTTTGATTACGCTGTAGTATTTTGTTTTCTATTTTACATATATATATATTCGTTGGTGAGTGTACAAATCATAGGAAAGATTAATATTAGGATTTGGTCAGTAACAGAGTTCCTAAGTACAAGACTGGATACGTATCACTGCGATCGAGGAAATGTCCATTTTCAAATACTTATCATATTGTAATCACTACATATTTGAAAAGAATATACTTTCATGGTAAAGGCATCACAGCCACAAATATGGACAAAAAAACAACAACAGCAAAACAAACATTTCGAATCCAGTGTCAAAAACATATGTTCAAATGCAATATCTATTGCAGAAAAGTGTACAGTTCTTGTTGATTGTTTAAAGCTTGGCAGCGGATGTGCTGACTGACAGTGCTAACTGTCCTTTGAGTGTAGCCACAAACTTCCGGATATGACGTTTTGAAAAGGAAATCCCCCTTTTACGCACTCATGGGTACGAAATATCGGGTATGGCTGGTGGTAGTTTCTGCTCTTTTTCCGTGTTACTAATAGTGGTGATGGAAAATTTGTTTCCATTTTCTGTTTCACTATTTCCAGAACTGTAGGAGGCGTATGAACTCCCGTACAATTTCCTTTGACTTGAATACTTAGTCTTCTGGGAGCTAGACATGCTTGAACTACTTGAAATGCTAAACGTTCTGCAGCAAAGAAGGTCCATCAGTCCGCTTCGAAACTGCTGCGAGGTTGTGACGTAGAGGAAAAAGTTGATGGCATAATTCACTTGTTCCAATATCTGGGTGACATCTCTGAAGATGAGAAAGCCGTTTGGATTCTGCCCGAATGCTCGGACGCCCTGTAAAAAGGAGATGAGATGCAAGAAAGTAACCGGAAGAATCAAGATGGTGTAAGCGATGACAATACCGAGCAACATGGCTGTGATTCGCGCCTCTTTTTCTTTGTTCTTGTTACCTGTCATTGACCTCCTCCTTTTCTTGTGATCCAAAAGTTTCTTGATGATGAGTGGGGTCAATATGAACATAAGAACACTCGGTATAAAAGAATAGAGGCAGCATCCCGCTATCAGAAATCGTCCGAATTCGATCCTTTCCGCAGGGTCGGTTGAGTTGTAAACGTCGGGATGGCATTTCCCATCAACGATGGTTGACCACCTAGACCATACGGAGTTGTAGGCACCTATAAAGATGTATACCATAACGATAGACAGTATAGTATTTCGCTGTGTACAAATCATCTTTGCACGCAAAGGAAACCAAACGGCAACAAATCGTTCAAAGCAGAGCAATACAACAAACCATGATGATGTCATTTTCCCTGTTTTAAACATAACAAAATAGATCTTGCAACCAGCATCTGAGAGTGCTCTTAGGTCTACTCCAGTCATCTCAATAACGAAGATTTTATTCAGTGGTTGTGTTAAAAGCAAAACAGTATCAGAAACGGCAAGCGCAATCAGGATCAGACGTGAAGTGAGATGCGCGTAGCGTCCGGTGGTCATAATGATGATCGTGAGAGTGTTTCCGGCCAGGCCAAGTAACAAGAACATGGGCAACAGGAAGTAGTTAGCATGTTGTAACACCTTTAAGACCTTCAACAACACATCCTCTTCCTCCGCAATAATGGGCTCTTCCGTTGTTATATTAGGACACGTGGTACAGTTCCATGTTGTATTTGTAACAACGGTTGTTACGAAAGTGGGGTTTATTGTAGTCGTCTGGGAGATGTTGACGGACTGGTCGCGTGGTGTGTTCGTTGTCTCGTTAAATAACGCGAGAATGGAACTAGTGCCGAATGTCTCCATCGTTTAACCTGAAAATACAAATTAAATTAAATGGATAATTATTTATGTAAAAAATACGTCTGTTGATGGAAATAGAAATTCCATCTTAATTTTGAATGCAGATGGTCCAGATTTAACGAGGGCAAAGTTTAGCAAACAATGTTACGAGTTTTATTTACCTACTAAGACGACCAATGTTGAAACACTTATTGAAAAAAAAAAACATCAACAAAAAAAACAAATGAAATCAGAGTAAGAGGAAAGCCAAATATCCAGCTTTTTGCAATTTTACTGAACGGAAGGAAAGATATGTTCAATGCACTTTGATGAAATATAATATTTCTATATTCAAGATACATGCTTCAATATCAGACAGAAACAAATGAAGGCCGGAGTTTTATTATAAATTCTACAAATCAAATGTTATGGATGTACCTTTCCTTTGTGTTAACAATTTCGAAGGCAAAGCGCTGAAAGGGACAAACTATTTAAATGCAAATGTCTTAGACGTAAGTCAATACTTAGGAAATTACTCTTAGAGATGAATATGGGGGAAAATGGAGAGGAAAGCAAAAGTCTAACGGGGCAAGGAAAGCCATTGATTACTAGTGATAATTAAACATATGTTACCATATTCTTAAAACGTAATAATAAAAATAATAAACTTTATTTATTTAGGATTGAAAAAACCTGATTTAGCCAAAGGCTAATCTCCCTCAGGGTCCTCTATGTTAGTAAAATGTGTTAGTGTTTACATAGTATTTCTTAAAACATAGTAATATAAATTAAACATAAATGACATCTAAAATATAAGGATGAGATTGCTGAAAATATTACATGCAATTATATAGTACAATACATCAAAGATCACAGAAAGCATACATCTCATGCTTTGAAGGTCTGATAATAGTTAAATGGCCGGCGCCTTACATACATATATGCTAATATAGCAAAGTATAAAAAAATACCAGGATATACGCTAATATAGCATAAATTAAAAACTGTTTTCTTTATCTAAAAAGATGAATCACAGTAGTGCTTTATAGCTCTATGCTTAAACGTGTTAAAAGATGGTGATGACCTTACATCATTTGGAAGTGCATTCCAAGTCTTACAACTTGTAAAACAAAGTGACTAGAATAGAAGGTTGTCCTGTGCTAAGGAATGTACAACACATTCTGTTCAGCCCGTCGTGTAGCTCTGGAGTGGACACTGTTTACATGTTTAAAACAAAAACTTAAATATTCAGGAGCAAGTCCATGTACACATTTAAAGGTCATTACAGACATTCTATAATTAATATACAATTCGATAGGCATCCATTTCAACACAGAAAACATTTCTTTTGAAGGAGTTTCAAAGGGAACATCTAAAATTAGGCGTGCTGCACGTTTTTGTAATTTATTTAACTTGTTCATTATATTGTCAGTAGAGCCTCCCCACACTGTACATCAGTATACAAAATGCGGAAATACACATGAATTAAAATATTTCAACCGTCCACTTACTGGCAGATACTGTTTGATACGACGGAGTAGCCCTAACCACAACTTACCCTCTTCAGAATGAAATGTATATTTTCTGAAAACGATAAGTGGTGGTCTAATTTTACTCCCAAATCTTTTTCAGTCTCTACCTGTTGTATTTTCTCATTTAAAAAAATCAAATTAAGTTAATTTTCACTTAATTTACAGCGCCTCTGTTTAATTGTTAAAACCATACATTTTGTCTTATCTACGTTAAAAATTATTTTATTTTTAGAACACCAGTCTTCCACTTTCTTTAAATCATGTTCTAATTTCGCTCTGACAAAATCAACCGTTTTACCAGAAGCAGACAGTGTAGAGTCGTCTGCGTACATGTCCGTCCTGCAAGTAGTTATCAACGGTAAATCGTTGATAAATACTAAAAACATCAAAGGACCAAGGATTGAGCCCTGAGGTACCCCATGGGTTATCCTCTTGGCCTCAGATAGATTTCTTGAAATAGAGACTTTTTGATATCTATCACTTAAATAAGATTTGAACCAAGATACAGCAGTGACAACATATTGATACATTTTCAATTTTTCTATTAATACAGTATGGTTAACTAGGTTAAAAGACAACACCGTTTATATTTCCATGATCAATTTCCTGTGCCCAATTATTAACAATATTTAAAAGGGCGGTTTCACATGAATGATTTTGTCGGAAACCAGATTGTGATGAGAGGAGGAGATCTTGGGTATTCAATAATTATTAAAAGAGCTGTGAACATGCCTTTCCAATATTTTGGAAATAACAGGTAAAATAGAAATAGGCCTATAATTGGACAACTCTGAGGCCTTACCACTTTTGTGTAACGGCATGACTTTAGCGAGCTTCCAGTTTGTTGGAAATTTACCACTTTTGATGCTCATGTTTATTATGTAGGTAAGTGATGGAGCAATCTTAAACGTTGCAAATACTTTTTAAAAGTACACGTAGAGAACATTAATTAAACTCATTGTATAAACGGTTTTTCCTTTCTATGATGTTTTTATCTAAAGCAGATAACCTAGATTTTGAATTCGTTGACAAATCATAGCATTCCTATTAATAACATGTATTAGTCGAGGAAAGGTGATTTTAAAGTATTCAACTTAAACACATTGTCTTCATAATTTATGAAACATTACTGTTTACAATTAATGAACAACAGTTTTCTGAAGCATGAAATTCGAAGAAAGATAACATACGATTTGTTTCTTTCAGGACAACAAATATTAGGGAATATAAACAGTTCTTTTTCTTGAAGGCAAAAACAGAAAATACTGAATACAAAGAAAAATTAAATTTCAAACTTTATTTATTTTACAAAAATTGCGAAAAAAGTTCTATCAACTTATATTAATAATCATTAATGGTCCGGATGGTAGCACGCTTGATGTCTTTATGTAGGAAGAAACCGGAGTACACCTGGATAAAACCAACGTGGTGATAGGTACTCTTTTCAGGTGTGATAGGAAATCCAACCCCGGTCATCATGTTGAAAAGCGAGTGCGCTATCAAATGGACCACCCTCGCTCGAAGCTATTAAAAGATCAAGGTCGAATTCGGTAGACAACAAGAGAAATAATTTAATTACTCCTTCTTGGACAATATACATTTCTTTTAAAATAATAAACTACCGCTCCAAAATAGTAAAACAAAAAATGACGTAAAAATAATAAAAAAATAAGGATTAACCGACTTTCTTAAAAACTCATTTCTTAAAACAATGTGGAGTCAGAATATTAAGAGGGATTAAATCACTCTTAATGAAGCCGAAATGATTTTGAAAATATGAAAATATGAATCCTGGCTAAGACGGAATATTAATGATCAATTAACAGTTTCTTTACGACAAGGTATTACAGTTATTCCCAAATGTAGTCCTCTGGATAATGACGACCGATCTCATTATTAGATGTTGTTTATTAAACACCGCCAGGAGTAATTTTAACTTGAACAAGACGGTACTAAATAAGACAATGGCATGGATCAGACAGCAGCATGCCGAGACGATGTAATTAGGGCACAGCACCATATTGATGTATTCCTTAAAGACCCACGTACGTACCACTGTAAACAGTTTCTATCATTGCAAAATGTTTTCAAGAATAGGTCAAGCTTTAATTAATCATTTCTGAAAAGAAAGCCGCAGCTTGCGGAGCTTTTTTGGAGTTGACCGACATTATAAGAAACTGTCCACGGAATCAGAAATTAACATAGATAACAACTAATCTAAGTGTGACCTTATCAAGCCATTGGGACATATTATTCAAAATTTGACATTCATCATTTAAAAAAAGTCATCGGGTTTAGAAATTTACACAGAAATATTGTTTGACATAATTAGGTTACCGTAAACTACATTTTAAAATATCATCTATATTATTGAAATTATTAATGGGTTAAGAAATTAACATCGATCTGTTATGATACCAAATCTGGTCACTGTGACCAATTCTCAAAATTTGATCTACATTATTAAAAAGTATCGTCATGTTCAGAAATAAACATAAAGCTGTTGTATGACCTCTAGAGGTGTCCGTAATGTCCTTCCGTATTACATCAACGGTGACAAGATCCCAATAGTGTTTCTTGTTACTCCAGGGACATCAATATTGCAAGAGAAAGGTTAATCAAGTGAAGACAGTGATGATTTTTATTCTTGATGTGACCGCTGAATAACAAACAACAGAGTAATGTTGGTGCCGTATAGAAAAGACAACTAACCATGAATTCACGACAAAAGGAAATCATTCAACTATAGTAAAGCCTACATTGACAGCTTGTCAATGACATTTAAACATTTGGCTCATAAATATATAATTCGGAACAATGAAATTCACTTTGGCAACAATTCCGGCGCAATATTTAAAAAACGCTGGCGTGAACCACGAGAATGCATTCATATCCGATATGAATGTCATGGTCTACGTGTTGATATCGTCATTATTATGGCGTCATAATGGTAACCATGACTACTACTGACACGCCCACGAAGATGAATATTTCGACACCGCAAAGTAACCACTACAGATAATAATATATATTTATTCATTAGGCAAGTATTCACGAATCCGGCAATTATTTGAAGTTAATCCTTAATTTTGATAAATAAAAAAAACCTCTCAGTTCCAGGCTGTTTAATGAGTGGGCAAGACTGACATAGATACTTAGGACTGCCACAGGACAGAACGGAAAACCACAGTTTTAATCTGACATCTTCTATTTCAAAATAACGGACAAATAGACACAATGATTACTAAAGCGCTCCTCATTTTTTTTAAACATATTCTATTGTAATTTATATACAATGGGAGTTGGGCACAAGTTTTACAACGTATATTAAGCCCTTTCCCCACAATATATAACTACAAATTATCAAGATGGCATATAACATATATATTTACATTGGCTTTAATTGAGAGAGAGAGAGACAGATATTAGTTGGTAAACATGAAGGAGTGCAATAAAATATACTCAAAATCTGTTAGTATCTAGAATAAATTG